CTAATGCTACCACTGCCACCGCTGCTCGCCTCACGGAGGGAGTCTGGCGGTTGCGCGGCCTCGAAAGCTGCGCCCCCTTGAGTCCACCACAAGGGCCCAGTTGCCGTCGTGTTGTGTGCCTGCCTGAATTCGCTTCCTCACTGCCGGGCGTGTGTGTGGGAGGAATCTGCGCTTCAGTTGGGGCTTGGGGGGGATCTTGGGCGCAGTGGGCACAAGTTGCTCTCTTCCCTCCATTGCTTTCCCTGTTGTTTAGAGAAATACTTGGGACAAAGCCTTGACCAGGCGCACATAAAGTTCGAGTGAGAGCCACCCACGAGTATGACCAGCTTGACGCTCAAGCACTACTCCCAAGCGGAGGCGGAGCGGCGCTTTCGGCTTCCTCCTGGACGGGATCTTTTTCACCAGCGCATCCCCACGCTCAATGAGGGTGACGCAAAACAAAAAATGAATGAAATACTTCAGTACGTGCACAACACCATGGAGCTGTATGAAAAGGTCTTTGACAGTGTGGCGACGGAAGAGGGCTTTTTTGTGCAACCGGTCCACAAGCTTCGCCACCCGTTGATTTTTTATTATGGCCACACCGCCTGTTTTTACATTAACAAATTGTGCGCGGCGGGGCTCTCTAAGCGCATTAATCCGCGGTTTGAGGAAATTTTTGCCGTCGGCGTGGATGAGATGAGCTGGGACGACCTCAACGAGGAGCACTACAGTTGGCCCACCGTGGATGAGGTGACGGAGTACCGTCGGGCGGTCCGCGACCACGTGGGTGAGATGCTGTCCAGCGGACGGCACCAGCTGCACCTCCCCCTCACCTTTGAGAACAGCACGAGGAGCCTGGACAACTCCTTTTGGTGGGTAATGCTGATGTGCGCCGAGCATGAGCGTATTCACGTGGAGACCGCCTCCGTGCATGTGCGAGAGCTTCCCATGCAATTTATTAATCCCGCCATGTCCTCCTTCTGGAGACGCTGCCGCGAGGTCAACTCAAAAGCCCCGGTCAATGAGCTGATCGACGTGGGTGGGGGCAAAGTGCGCGTTGGGCGTGACCCGAATTCTTCAGTCTACGGCTGGGACTGTGATTACTCAGACGGGAATTACTTTATTGACGTGCCCGCGTTCAAGGCAAGCAAGTATGTTGTTTCGAATGCGGAATTTATGTCATTCCTAAAAGCTGATGGATATGCTACACAGCGCTACTGGGATGAGGAGGGTTGGAAGTGGGTTCAGTGGAAGAAGCCCCAGCATCCATGGTTCTGGGTGCGTGATGAGTCTCGCCCCGACGGCTATGCACTTCGTCTTCAGACGGAGTTAATTGATTTGCCGTGGAATTGGCCATGTGAATTAAACAACCTTGAGGCACACGCCTTTTGCCGGTTTAAGAGTGAACAATCCGGAAAAAATATTCGAATGCTGACCGAGGCGGAATGGCTGCTGCTGTGGGATAGGCATGTGGGCAAGGATCAGATGTGCTGGGGGAAGGCACCTGGAAATCTCAATCTGGAACACTTTCAAAGCAGCTGCCCGGTGGACAAGTTCCCGCATGGCCCCTTCTTCGACATTGTTGGTAACGTTTGGCAACACTGCGAGACAAAAGTATACCCCTACCCCGGCTACAAGGTTCATCCTTTCTACGACGATTTTTCAATGCCTACATTTGATGGCCGTCATGCATGCATGAAGGGTGGGGCGTGGGTCAGCAGCGGAAACGAGGCCACCCGGGACGCCCGTTTTGCCTTCCGCCGTCACTTCTTCCAGTACATTGGCCTCCGCTACGTGGAGGGCGCCGCGGTGAACGAGGAGCGCTACTGCCGGAGCGTCTTGGGACTTGACCCCGAAGTTGACATCATAACCGACATGTGCTTTCGCGACTCTGTCAAAGGTGTTACAAACGGCTGCGTTAAGATTGCCGAGTACGCCATGGCTCAGTTCAAGGCCTACGCTCAGGTTGAACCCAAGCGTGCGCTGGATTTTGCCTGCGGAGCTGGTCGGGTTTCCTTTGAGTTGTCTTCCCTCTTTGGCCAAGTGGTTGGCTCTGATTTCACGGCCCGCCACCTTATTCCGGCATATGCCTTGCTTGAACGGGGCACATGCACGTACAGCACCTTGGATGCTGCCTCACTGCAGCGTGTGGGAAAGTCGGTGGAGGCGTCAAATTATTCATGGGGCAACAATCGTAACCGCGTCACCTTCTTTCAGTCTGACCCTGCAAACCTTCACGGTCACATGACAAACTTTTCCTTGATTGTCTGCTGGAATACGCTTGAGAGAGCCTCAGCCCCTGCCGCAGTCCCACCGCATCTGCTGAGCCGGCTGGAGGAGGGCGGCATCCTCGTCATGGGAGGCCAATATGAATGGGTTGAAGGCAGCGCGCCAGTGAAGGAGTATTGGGACGAGACGGCTTCGTCTCGCCGGGGACTTTCAGAGGGGGAGGTGCACAAACTGCTTGGAGCCGAATCCGCGGTCGAGCGCGTCGGGGAGCCCATTGACGTGGTGATCGCGTTCCCGGAGTCGGATCGTGCGGCAAATCTAAAAAAAGTGCACTTCACCACGTACCGGAAGAAAGTGAAACACGTGACCCCGGGGGCGTGAGCCATTTTCAGCGGAAAGCAAACGTGTCCTTTTATGTACTTGGGTTTACTTTGGTTGCGAGCGTTTACGTGCGGTGCAACACGAACAGCAAAAAAAACAAGCAAACAAACGGAATACTTCTGGAGGATAAATTGCGCCGGCCCCTGTGCCGTTATATTTGTGCTATGCATCGTTTTTTTTTTTTTCATTTTGCCGGTTCAGCGTGTGTATTTGTATTTGTTTATATATCTTTTACCCTTCTCTTGTCCTTGTTTTCCCCGCCTTGGCTCTGCTGCGCGGGCGGCGCAGGGGAAGCGGAGCAACGGCGGGGAGCAAAAGGCAGCAGCTGAGAGGGTAGGGGAGCGGGGGGAGAGGGATGTGGCGCGTGCCGGGCACTCTGCCGCATAAACGTTGGTCTTTCCGTCCCGGCCAACGGCAACGCGCACGGGGGGAGGAGGGAAAGAAATAAAGTGAAGACCCTCGGGAGGCGTATAGCAAGCGGGGAATCCGGCAAACGCAACGAAACAACAGCAAAAAAGAAGGAATATATATATATATATATATATAACATGCGAACGAAAGAAAAAAAGAGGCCGAATAGGCACACTACACTCCACAGCTGAGTCAACAACAACAACAACAACAAAAGGGAACAAACACACATGCACACCAACACACGCAGACACACGGACAGGCAAAAAATAGGGGGGGGGGGCAGAAGCGAGGCTTCAACTTTCCGGGAAATGTTTTTTCGTTTTGTTTTGTTTTGTCTTGGGGGTTCACGAGGAGAAGCCCAGAACTAGAGGGAGACTAAGTATGGAGCCGCAGGGACCGTTTGACTGTCGTGCGTCGTATGCCCTTTTTTTATTTTTGTTTTTCTGCTTCTCTGCGGAAGGGTGGGGCTCTGAGGAGGAACCAAAAGTGCGCGGCGCGACCGCGGTTGCCATGTGGGCCAGTGAAGGTGTCTTTTTTTTGTTTCGAGGGGAAATCTACTTTTTTTTCTTTTATTTGCCTTCTTTTTTTGTTAAGCCATGTGTGGGTAGCCCTCTCTCTCTCTTCACCCGTTTTTTGTTTGTTGTGTGTTTTTGATGCATTTTCTGCTCTTCGTGCGTTCCGCTGCAGCGCCGAACCTCGAGGGATTACTGCCGTTGGCTTCTGCAGCGGCGCAGCAACCCAACCGCTGGGGGCAACGGTGCGAGCAGTGAAGGGAAAAAGGGGGCGGTGGGCCGGCGGGCTTCGCCGGCAGGGGGTGCCTCCTCCTCTTTTGTCTCTTTTTTTTTTTTGGCTTGGGGCAAACTCAACGAGGGCCGCGTGACAAACGAGGGAAGTAACCGGCATCCCACTCCCCCTTCCTCTCCTCCAAACGTAAAGCAAAGCAAAAAAA